ACTTTACTAGAGGTCTAACGATGTACCTGGTTGCATGTCATACCAATATACTCAGTGTAAATATTAAGCATAAAGGCACACAAAATATTCATGTTTATGTTAATATTTACACCGACATGCCTGAACGTCATCCTATACATACATTATAACAATAAAAAAATTGAGGAAGCGCAATGATAAATTATTTTATAACGTTGTGTATCATGTAGACTTGTGACAGCGTAATAGCATAATCTAAGGTGTGTTTGGGTATTGTATGCACATTCCCAAAAAATTATAGGTATGGAACGTTGCAATGGTATATGGCAGACGTAGAGATACTTATTGGGTATATCACGACTATCACGATTTTCTAAAATTACTGCTATACTATTATTAGAATAATTGACGGTTTGCATATGAATAGTTGAAATAATTCATGTGCAATAAATCTATAAGCATTAGTTTATAGCTTGATCTATGGAAGCTGTAATGACCCTCTCAGTGTCAAGGAAATTGGCTGATTTATTCTGCAAGCGTATAAACATTTCACACAAAATAAGAAGCCGAAGCCTGGTGAGCTAATCTGGCGGGTCCAACGAATTCGAATAGATTAGAGCCTACCGATGTGACAACGTTGTATCATAATGCTTAGTACCGGTTGATACATCATCATTAAACTTGTGCGGCTCTTTGCAAATTATGTAAGGAGTACCATGTCTTGAAGTCGTTTAACACCACAATTAGATGCAAACACTCAAACTTTTGAAAATGAACACTGAATATACGAATTTTATGACAGAACTGTCAAAAAAATTGACTTATGTCAAGTGCACTCACTACAAACTATGCAAATAAAGAGACAATCAAATCCTGTACTGACTCCTTCTTCGTTTGGGAGGCCAGTATCATGCAGGAAAGCTTATAGATGCAAAACCCGCTGGCATATCCATGAAAAATGACCACCGACCGCCCATCGGCTTAAGAAAAGCTTGAGATGACATAACCTCAAAATAGAGCGCTGACACGGAGAAGTAGAAAACTATGACAATCAAGGAGGCCATAAAGGCGCCCTACAATTGTAGGGACGACTGACGATACGGGCCTTAGTTAAAAGTCTGATCGGTTTGTTATATCTGTCGTCTGGTTATCCAAATACCAAACATGTTCAAGGGGAAAAGGGAAAAAAGGAAGAAATACACCAAAGAAAAGAAGCAAAGCAGTTGAATTGTGAAAACCATTAGGTGTTATTAATTTGACTACTGGAATAATTATCTTATTCCAAAAAAATATTTTTTTTCGGTTTTGTAAAGAAATTGTTTTAGCTGTTCAGAAATTCGCATTTTAATTTTGGCCACAGTACGAGGCGCGGTCTCGAGCGTTTGCTAACTTGCTCGACTGTGTCGTCTACTGAGTCACGCAACAGAGGGTTGGTTAATGTATGCAAAAAGAATATAAGCTTTTCACACAAAATGAGAAAGAGAACCCTGGCGGGTTGATGTGACAGGCCTAAAGAAAGCTCTTAGGAGAAAAACCTGCTGGCATATCGGTGGAAAATGATCGCAGATCAGCCGTTAAGAATGTCTTATCAGTTAGTTGAACAGCCCTCTTGTAAACAGTATCAAGTGTAGTCGCAATTGCAGTCGCCAAACATGTGAAAAGTACGCCAAGCCGCACCTTATCTGAACCTTGTACCGGTTGAGGATATTATGTGGACAATGATCGCAATATTCTAAATGATACGCTTGCTGATCACAAAAAAACAGGGCTGTAGTTGTTCAGGTTTGTCAAAATTCCATTTCTTCTACGGGTTATGGCATACGCCAGAGTCATAGGATATCTAGAGGGAACGCGAAAGAATCAGAACTAGCTCCGGTTCACATCTTTTCATTATGATTCCAAAGATCATGTCAGGACCAGAAAGAAGCTTTGCTGGTGGGACATTCCATGGTGGAGGAACACAAAGATGTTGAGCTTGTAATCAATTATGATGATTCTGTTCAGGCATGCCAGTATGAAAAAGTCATTCTCAATCTTCTTGGATAGTATCTGAAAACTGCCATTATGCTGTGACATTACCTTTTGCCTAACATTTGATGGGTTTTACAGTACCCCTAGCCAGCAATTATAAACATACGGAGATTGAAAGTGGGGGTATTAAAAATAATATATTTTTATTTTGATGTTCATAATCGACTCCTAATGAACCGATTTAGGAATTTCACATTTTGATCGATTTTTATAAGCAAAGCCATTTGTGCGACAGATGAAACATCTACCTATCTAAGTTCGTTTTTTGACTACTTATGTTTTTTTGATGATGTATTTTGTTTTAGATCACAAAGTAGAGACTTGTCGAAATTTTCAACAAATTTAATGTATTACTGGAAATAAGGACTAGGATAATGTTTTGACATAAAACGCGTTTCAAAAACCCTCACAGAGGCGAACTGGCGAACTGTCAAAGTTGAGCGTTTCTGTGCATTGATCAGCATATTTACTCAGCAACTAATAATAAGAACCCATTTAATAAGAACCCATTAATCTTTTTTAAAATGTTCTATCGAATATGCAGTAAAATATGACACATTCGAATTAAAAAGATACAACTTTGTTATTGTGTGAAATTTGTTTAACATTTGCCCTTAGATACAGTATACAGGTATATCAATCTCTCGATTTTTAAATAATCGATTTTTGCACTCAACGTCACAGCCCTATTCTCCCTGCAGACATTCGTCAGAAAATTTGACAAAAGAGCTGCAATTAAGCAAGCGAAGAGGTCTTGTCACCCAGATGACATTCACAGAGCAACCAATCTTGTTCATGAAGTGAGAAATGCTCTTCATGAATTCCGTAATGAGCAGTTGAACGACTTTCTGTCGGGGATGCTTGACTCAAGTATTCCTCTCTGGAAAGTTGCAAAGTCGCTCAAAAACAGAAAGCGAGAACAACTCCCGCACATTCACGGTCCTAGGGGCATAGTCTGTAGGACAGAGGAAAAGGTCGAAGTTTTCGCTGATGCAATGGAAAGTCAGTTCTCTCCCAACTATGACCTTGATAATGACCTCGACGAGAAGCAACATAATGTAAGATCCGTCAGGAGATATTTTAGGGCCAACGGCGTCAGTGGCAGTAGTGCCTCCCTTATTGATTTTTCCTCAGAGGAATCTTCAGAAGATTCCTCAATTGAAGAGCTGCAAACCAGCAGAGCTCCAAGGTCATATTAAAGACCTCAAGGTGCGTAAAGCACCTGGAGAGGATCAAATCACTAATAAGGCGTTGAAGCTACTTTCGCGGAAGTCCTTAACTTATCTCGTGGCAATAATCAATGCCATGCTAAGGACCCAGCACTTCCCAACGGCGTGGAAGACCGCTGATGTCATAATGATTGCAAGGAAGGTGGGTTCGATATTCCCCCAGGATTACCGCCCCATTTATTATTACCGTCTATTGTCAGCTCCTTCTTAGCTCGCTGAAAAGGTGATGCTACATCACCTTGAAAATTTCTCGGCAGACCACAATGTGATTCCTCACGTGCAATTTGGCTTTCTGTCTGAGCATAGTACGGAGCTACAGGCCATAAGGCTTGTTGAACGAGTAACCAGGGGGTTCACCCGTAACGAAAGTACTGGTATCTTGCTACTGGATGTCTCAAAGGCATTTGACAAGGTGTGGCACAAGGGCCTTCTCTACAAATTGATCCATAAGGGCTTCCCCTTCTGGCTCCTAAAACTTTTGAAATCCTTTGTCGAGGGTAGGAAATTTCGGATCGAAATTAAAAACGTTCTGTCGACAACACGGCCCATCAAAGCCGGTGACCCTCAGGGTTCGTTTTTTGGGCCAGTCCTTTATTCACTTTTTATTCATGACGTCCCTTGCCCCATCAGCTGTGAAACCTATCTCTATGCTGACCTAGTTCACGACAGGCTGCAAAGTGCAGTGGACGAGGTATTGGAATGGGCGAATCGGTGGCTGATCAAAATTAATCATTCTAAAACGCAGGCAATCTATTGTACTAAAAAACGTAGCGGCGCCCCGTCTGAGGTTTCAGTGAATGGAGCTCGGGTACAATGGGAAAGCTCTGCTAAGTATCTCGGTGTCACTCTTGACAAGGGGATAACCTGACAGAAGCACACTGAAGCGTTAAAAACTAAATTCCAAATCTCGTTTCGGCAACTCTACCCTATGCTATGTAGAACATCAAAATTAAGTTTGATCAACAAAGTTCGGCTACACAAGATGGTTATTAGACCAGCGATCACTTACGCAAGTGCGGCTTGTGTTTTCTCGCCAAAACGCATTTGCGTAGCCTGCAGGTTTTGCAGAACAGAACCTTGCATACAATCACTAACGCCCCATGGTATGATTCCAACGAGACCCTTCACAGAGACCTTGACATCCCCTACCTAAGGGACTACATCAAACAAGCGCAGCTACGTTACAGTCAAGCAGAATCGCATAACAACCCGTTGTTGCGCGAGTCAGTAGACTACACAGTCGAGCAAGTTCGCAAGCACACAAGGCCGCGACTCGCACTGTGAACAAAATTAAATCGTGCGACTTTAGGTCCAACCAAAATTATAATTTTTCTTCAACAACCAATCCCAAAATTAATTTTAGGATCAATTTAAAATTGCCGAATACTAACTAGCAATGCCAAAGCACCCCTAAAATTGATGCACTTCTTTTTTCTTTGATCTCCTTCCTTCCTTCCTTCCTTCCTTTCGTCTTCCCTTTTTTCTCCCTGACTTTGTTTGGTATCTGGGCAACCAGACCTGACAGACTTACTGACTTACGAGACTTCAAGAGCAAAGGACCGCTCTGACAGACAATGACGAATACCAAATACCGTCGTTACAGCCCTAATTAGTAGATGAAAATTACTTCCTAGCTGTCAATAGATAACCCAGTTTCTCCACGTGGATGCAGCAACATGGATTTAGAAAGTTCCAGGCGTATTGAATTGGGAAAATAGGAATGTTCAAAAACATTTTTGTGATTCAATTTCTAAAGAGAATTGATGTATTCTGACCATTTTAGTTACTTTGCTGGGTTTCTTATTGAAAGAATATGTTTATTTTAGGTAAATCCAGGAAGTAAAGCATCACATGCTGGCATAAGAGAAGGAGATTTGATTACATCCATAGGAGGGAAAAGCACTAAAGGAATATCAAATGCAGACGCACATGGACTATTAAGGGCCGCAGAAGGAGGGAAACTAGTGCTAGGGTTAAACGAGTAAGTAAAGGCAGATACCTTCAAATTATTATTCGTAATGTATGGAAGGCTTGAATAATATACTTGGTGACAAAGCAAATAGAACATCCAGTAAAAATGTTATTTCAATGAAGCAAGAGGAATATCCACTAAATTTCGGAGTGAAAACATTTGCTGTATCATTCAATTTTATAAGCAACTATACTAAGTGGCATATAAATCCGAACACCCAGTTTAAATGGTTTTATTTTAATAAAATTTTGTATAGGTACTTAATGAAGCATAATAAGTAAATGATAAAAATTTCAAAATGATTGCACTGCCTTAAAGCCCTTTGACCTTTAATAATGTGTGGATGCACCCTGATGTGCTACGCATTCTCCAACGCGCCTAGGCATGCTTCTGATCAGGTGGTCAATGTCCTCCTGTGGTATCTCATTCCAGGCAACCACCAACTCCTCTCGAAGTGCTTCTAGAGTCTGAGGAGGACCTTGCAAATTGAGCAATGTCCTACCCATCATATCCCACACGTGCTCAATTGGGGATAAGTCGGGAGATCTTGGTGGCCATCGTAACAATGTGACATCATTATGTTGAAAGAAGTCTATTGTGACTCTTGCAACATGTGGTCGGGCATTATCTTGTTGAAAAGTTGGATCTGCCAGGGTGTCAAGATAGGGTAAAAGACGGGGTTCTAGAACTTCGTGGATATAACGCTGCGCGTTCATGTTACCTCTGATGAAGATTAAAGGTGACCTGGAACCATAAGCTATAGCACCCCAAACCATAACTCCAACAGTGAGATGATTTTTTTTTTTTTTATATCGAAACAGCCGCGCAGGCAGAAGCCTAAATGCGATTACGTCGGTGTTAAAGGGAGGACCCAGTGTGGCCGGTATGAAAACAAGGCAAAACTTCTCATTCGTCGGTAAACACTTCGCATGCCAATAGGTCTTCCGTGTTCTGCAAACCATTCATTTGCAATGGACCTGGTAGCGGAGAAACAGTCCCTTAAGGCCAATAATCTTAGGCGGCGATCTTCACGGTCTGTTGTTCTACGGCGGCGTCCAGTGCCCCTTGCTCTTTGCGTACGGCCTTCTCGAAGCCATGCCTGACAACACCTAACCACAGTGTCTACACTTCTTTGCACTCTAACTGCAATTGCCCGAAAAGAAAGTCCAGCTTCCCGAAGTCCCACTATACGGCCCCTATCAAACTCACTAAGTTGACGAAATCGTACAGGTCTCCGTACTCTAGGCATCGTAACCGATCGTAAAGGATGTCAAGAACCAAAATACGCCAACGTTGATTCTTTACTGCGGCTGAAATATTCATTTTTAGAGCGTCAGTGAATTAAAAAAAAGCAGTATAAAAACCGGAATGTCCAACTGATAAGGCTGAAAATTTTTTCACTTGTTGTTTACAGTAAGATAAATACATTCACCAACTTTTATTAAAATAAAACCATTTAAACTGGGTGTTCGGATTTATATGTCACTTAGTATACATTTCAGTATTTGATACTAACATTCATCATCAATAAAATAATTTTTAATAGGTGCTCTATTTCCTTTGTTATGGAGTGTATAGGATATTTACATAAACCAAACTTGATGCTCATAAGCATTTTATCATAAAACAATGTATACGAATCCAAAAGGCTCTTCAGGCATCCTAATATGTAAAAATTGAGAGTTGCCTGAAAGGGTTTATTTTCAGTAAGTTGCTCAATAAACTCGTTAAAAGACAAGTGTCATCAACCGTTTTGGGCGGTTACATCATAAATTTCATACCCAATAAATAAGCAAATCGAATACTGAATCATGTGCGGAGCTGAAGCTCCATAGAAAAATTGCAAGACGGACTAACCTATCTTAAACGCCGCTGCAATTACACACATAAATTGATCAATTACGGAGCATTACTTCCATTCACTTTCTCAATAGTTCTGGCAAAAACTATATTGTCTGTTAGTTGTACTTTCATGTACTGCTGTTTTATATTACGAATATCAACAAAAGTCAAACTCAAAATTGTGCGCCCTTGTCAAGTGGGTTGTCACATTGACAACAATAATCATAGATCAGAAATACTGAGACGTTGACGAGAAAATTTTCGGTGTAGCGAGACGAAGCTGGAAAACGTATGTATGAACATTCGCAAACAAACTTTCGCGCACAGTGGCACACTGTATATGTAAAGTATGTATGTGTGATGAGATGAATGCATAGATGTCGGTAGTTTTAGTGTGACCAGCCAAAAACCGTGAAATGAACCATAGACTTTGGTAATTACTAATTAACTTGGCAGTTTATCCAAAGGAAAACAAAAGAGACACAGCTTAGCGCCCATACGGTTTACTCGCCACTCCTTAGCTGACCTGGGCCGACCCTATCGGGCCATTTCATGCAGAAATCCTCGTGGTGGACACGATAATGCACTCTCGATTGCCAGTCGGCTAGTCGCTCTCTCAATGGCTCTCACACACAGTCGCACACGCTCATTGAGTACGACGCCACAAATGCAGACGCCTTTTGCGACGCTCCGATGGCTTGGTTACTAATTAGCCGACTGCGTTAAAGAGAAGGCTGTATTCCATACGGACTTATGATGTGTTTGCTCATCCCAAGATGAGCTGCTATTTGTTCTATAATTGTACGAGGACGAAAACGAAGATTTTATTCCGTCGACGTATGATACATAAAAAGTAACGAAGACATCCATGTTGAGGGAGCATCAGAAATATCTCGGACGACACCGTTTGGCTAGACTGGCTCACACTACTTGTTTTATGCCTGATCCACCACGCAGGCCTCATGTCTGAATACTTTTAGGTACCGTGGCGCTATAGGCATTAATACCTGAGAAAAGGGGGGACATCCACACGGACTCTAATAAGGGAACACGTGTGCATGTGATATGTACACATTCTGGCCATGCCTTAGAGATCCGCTGGGTGGTACCTCCTCGCTCGACAATTTGAAACCCTCTACCACTTACGGACTATCACAGCACCCATGGCCATGAAAAAAGTTCTCTTGGGACGGGATTCGAACCGGCGCAGCTAACGCAGATTGATTAATAGATCCATAGCGTCTAACCAATAAGCCACCGCGCTGCCTGACAAACTCAGAATTTAGGAGATTTTTTTTTGAAACTGAATCATGCTGCTCTTATAAATATGATCTTAAGTCCTCTGATCTCTCAGAGAAGCTTAACAGACAGATAGCTGACGTTCTTTCTAGTTGTTAAAATTTACATTGCTGTCCTCATTTTTCTTTTTCTGGCAAAGTGTCAACAGGGTTTCGATTCCATCTTTTCAGGTTAACAGTTTGATTCATTTCATTCATACTGACGCAGATGACAGCATATGCAGCAAGCATAGCGGCGTAAAAATCTTTACGGATTGTCTAATCCAAGGTCTAAATATTGTTGCTTTCTGAAAACGCGAAAATTTTATATGCATACCGGCTGATTGAAATTCGACCCTCACCCTTAGGATCTCGGAAAATGGTAAGAGATATGAAGTCGGTTGAGGGACAAAGTTTAAATTAATATGACGGAAGCTATCTAAAAATCTTAATAACCCTATATAAAATTTTATGGAATCTAATTAAATTCAGTCAGTATATACGCATTGTTAGAAGTTTCGATAATAGGATTAAAAATACATACTTCTATAGTCCGAAAAGTTTAGTGGACTTATATCCTGACCGCAACAACTTACGTCTTTAATAAAGCGTATTTCTTGAGCGATTGTATTTAAGTCGGCTGGGTATCTTATGCTTGCTGAATTTAAACAGATTTTAACAAAACCATCTGAAAGGTTATTGGTATTCTTTAAAAAAACGAATTTCCAAATACGGCTTGACATTCTATATATCGAAAGTAAAGCATACTCGGGTCTATATTAGTATGGAACTTTCAATGATTCACCCGCTGAAGCCTGACCAGGTACTTTGTACCCTATGTAGACTTCATAACTGTTTGTTCAACTTGACCCACATTTCAAGCATATCACAACACGAGTCCATGAGTTACAAACATAGTTAAGGTTTTCATTGACAAAAAGATATGCCTCCTAAAAGTACCTTTTTAGTGAATGAGAATATCCTGGGTAGACTGAAACACATCTGCTAACCATATTTTTAGTTTCTTGACATTGACGCTGAAAACAGATTCATCACTTTGGTGTAGAGACCTTCTCAAACCACTAAACTAATTTTAGTATTTTCAATCACAACGTCATAAACGCAGTGCGATTCATACCGGCGAATCCATGGAATTTATTAACGAAAACAAGAATATAAACATTGGACTCGTATTTTGGCACATTTGGAAACTGACCAGATATTTACCGCCAAATTAGAAAAGTATATTTAGTATCAAGTCTATCCAAATTTAAAGGTGATCGCACGATAAATAATGAATTGCAAATGCTCAAATTGTTTTTGCTACGTGTTAATGTGTATAGTAATTACGTGATTAACTCTAATCAAGTTCACTTGAATGCAACTTCTAGGGTTGCTTGGTAAATGCCGTTCAATGAAGGTGACTTTTCTTGTGACAGTATCACCTCTTAAGGTTCAACATACTGGTGTATCTTTTACTAAGTGAATTTAGAAAGGGACAGACTTATGTTGAACATTATCGACACGAGTCGGGTGCACAGACTGGTCCTAGGTTTTGTAATTTTTCGTCACATATACTTTATTTTATGTTTTATGCTTAAAAATAGCTCTGCCATTTTGGTAACGTTGTAGGATTGTCATTCAAACTCTTGAATACTGATTGAATATAACGCTATAGTTAGAAGAACTTACAAATTACTTATCGATGATATCATTTTAGGGAGTCTGGAGGTTCACCTAAACGTCGCCAGTACAAAACTATTCATCAAGAGATATTGCAGGAGACTGTGAAACGTAAGTATTGCTGGCGTCTCTTCACAGAAAAATTTAAAAAATACAAACAGCCTTACTGCAGTAACTGAAAAGAATGAAGTTTAAATAGCACTATCAAGACGGATCTAAGGACACCTCTAATGTCAAAATCAAGCCCTTTGTGCTGCATCTATAGTCATTTTGATTTTTTAAAATTTAGTATACTCATTGCCACACGTACTGTCAAGACAAATCAAGAGACGTATGTCAAAATCGATCATTTAAGGTGAGCCCCGTGAGATGAGAATTTCGAAGTTTCAAATTTTCGATTAAAATTCGTCATTATATATATATATATATATATATATATATACAGGGTGTCCGCAAAGTTGAGGTTTTCCTTTTCAGAAACAACTACCCTTGAAATAAGAAAGGTAATGTGTAGTGAAACGAGGGCGACCAAGTAAAAAAAAATAAAGGAAAAAGTACTCACTCTCCAGTTGACGAGAAGGGCTAAGTACGTCTCTGCCCGAAATCATACCGCTCCAACAGAAAATGAAATCAGCTGATGCGCTACCGAGCAGACGTAGGCAAACAAGGAAGGCAAAATGTTGCGTAATGACCAAACATGAGTGTTGCGAAAGTTATTCACCCCATTACGCGTGAACGTAGATTCGTCTGTGACCAATATGCACTTCAAAAAGTCCGGATTATTGTCATGTTGATGCAACAACCACTCACAAAACCGCACTCTTGCTGGAAAATCGTCAGGTTCAAGGGCTTGTACACGTTGGACGTGAAACGGATACAGCCCCTCTTCACGCAGCGTTTGCCACACTTTAGTTTTTGATACTGCACTTCTCTAGCCACGTCTCTAGTGCTTGTTGAGGGATTCACGTCTACGCGATTATCTCTACACGCGTGACCGTAACCGTCGGTTGAAGGTTGCATACTGACCTGACACACTGACCCCGACCCAGTTCTGTCGTCGGGTTGAGCTAGTGTCCTAGTACCACTGGAGGATGTCGCGGCTACAGGACGGTATTCAGATATTTTTGATGTTGCAGAGCCCTTTATCTCGGTTCAGTTAAGACATTGGTGTATATGGTACTAAGAAAAATTGCTCATGTTTTCAAGATCTACACGTCGTGTAAAGGAAAACCACAACTTTGCGGACACCCTATATACAGGGTGACTTTGAAGTTGAGTCATTAATTTTCAGATAATGATTGTAGAAGGAAGATAAACCAAAATATGTGTGTAAAAATAAAAAAAAAAATAAAAAAAAATTTTTACCTTGTTTTATAAAGTATCCTCCCGACAAGTATTTCAGTGCGGACCTGTATTTGATCGTGAGGTCTCCTGCGAGGTCTTAAGTCACTTGATTCACGAGCCCGTTGTACTACATTAACAAAGGCACGAGGGGTTGGTTGCACTCGATTGGGAAACCGATCCGCATAAACATGCGCCATTTTTTATTTCGTTTGAGCCACGCAACAGACAGTATTCACACGCCTTACCGACTGATACTGACTGTATGTATAACTGAACTGAAGAAAATAATAGTAAAACATCGTTCCAAATTCTTTCGCTTTTTTGTTTCCGATGCGATGATTATATCCGTTGTTGCCAAACACGAGCACATGATATTACGAGTATTATTGAACAGGGCGGTACTCAAACTTCCAAAGGGCTATAATATATATATATATATACAGGGTGACTTCGAAGTTGAGTCATTTATTTTAACAGTGAGTAGATCTGATCAAAAGAAATGTTTTTTTCCTTTACCATTTTTCTGGTAAAATTAAAGTAACAAAGTTATAGCCCTTTGGAAGTTTGAGTACCGCCCTGTCTCAATAATAATATCATGTACTCGTGTTTGGCAACAACGGATATAATCCGCCTTACCGGTTCATCGCATCGGAAACAAAAAAGCGAAAGAATTTGGAACGACGTTTTTGCAATTAAGTGTTTTATTCAGTTCAGTTATACTATACATACAGTCAGTATCTGTCGGTTAGCGTGTGAATAGTTTCTGTTGCGTGGCTCAAACGAAATAAAGAATGGCACATGTTTATGCGGATCGGTTTCCCAATCGAGTGCAACCAACCCCTCGTGCCTTTGTTAATGTAGTACAACGGGCTCGTGAATCAGGTGACTTAAGACCTCACAGGGGACCTCACGATCAAATACAGGTCCGCACTGAAATACTTGTCGGGAGGATACCTTATAAAACAAGGTAAAAATTTTTTTTTAATTTTTTTTTATTTTTACACACATATTCTGGTTTATCTTCCTTCTACAATCATTATCTGAAAATTAATGACTCAACTTCAAAGTCACCCTGTATATATATATATAACTTGAGACGTGGTCATTGTCGTCTAGACCAGTTAGGTGAAAAATTAAAGCTTCCGCCTGTTGTTGGTACTTCGACAAAGAGTCCTCTTTGCTTAAATTTTGTCGAAGTACCCAATATATCTCAAGTTATATATATATATATATATATATATATATATATATATATATATGTATATATACTAAGTGACATATAAATCCGTACACCCAGTTTAAATGGTTTTATTTTATTAAAAGTTGGTGAATGTATTTATCCTACTGTAAATAACAAGTGAAAGAATTTTGAGCCTTATCAATTCGACATTCCGGTTTTTATACTGCTTTTTTTTAATTCACTAACGCTCTAAAAATGAATATTTCAGCCGCAGTAAAGAATCAACGTTGGCGGATTTTGGTTCTTGACATCCTTCACGATCGGTTACGATGCCTAGAGTACGGAGACCTGTACGATTTCGTCAACTTAGTGAGTTTGATAGGGGCCGTATAGTGGGACTTCGGGAAGCTTGACTTTCTTTTCGGGCAATTGCAGTTAGAGTGCAAAGAAGTGTAGACACTGTGGTTAAGTGTTGTCAGGCATGGCTTCGAGAAGGCCGTACGCAAAGAGCAAGGGGCACTGGACACCGCCGTAGAACAACAGACCGTGAAGATCGCCGCCTAAGATTATTGGCCTTAAGAGACCGTTTCTCCACTACCAGGTTCATTGCAAATGAATGGTTTGCAGAACACGGAAGACCTATTGGCGTACGAAGTGTTTACCGACGAATGAGAAGTTTTGGCTTGTTTTCATACCGGCCACACTGGGTCCTCCCTTTAACTCGAGAACACCGACGTAATCGCCTTGAGTCGTGCAGACAACGGTCACTCTGGGATCAGGAATGGAACAGTATTGTCTTTAGTGACGAATCTCGATTTTGTTTAGGCATGCACGATGGTCGTGCCAGGGTTAGAAGCGAAAGGAGGAATCCACAGTTTTTTGTTGACAGACATGTTCATCACACTGTTGGAGTTATGGTTTGGGGTGCTATAGCTTATGGTTCCAGGTCACCTTTAATCTTCATCAGAGGTAACATGAACGCGCAGCGTTATATCCACGAAGTTCTAGAACCCCATCTTTTACCCTATCTTGACACCCTGGCAGATCCAACTTTCCAACAAGATAATGCCCGACCACATGTTGCAAGAGTCACAATAGACTTCTTTCAACATAATGATGTCACATTGTTACCATGGCCACCAAGATCTCCCGACTTATCCCCAATTGAGCACGTGTGGGATATGATGGGTAGGAGATTGCTCAATTTGCAACGTCCTCCTCAGACTCTAGAAGCACTTCGAGAGGAGTTGGTGGTTGCCTGGAATGAAATACCACAGGAGGACATTGACCACCTGATCAGAAGCATGCCTAGGCGCGTTGGAGAATGCGTAGCACATCAGGGTGCATCCACACATTATTAAAGGTCAAAGGGCTTTAAAGCAGTGCAATCATTTTGAAATTTTTATCATTTACTTATTATGCTTCACTAAGTACTTATACAAAATTTTATTAAAATAAAACCATTTAAACTGGGTGTTCGGTATTATATGTCACTTAGTATATATATGTGAAAAATTAAAGCTTCCGCCTTTTGTTGGATACTTCGACAAAATTTAAGCAAGGAGGACTCTTTTTACTTTTTTTATTCTCTCTAGCTTTCAATGGTCTTTGCCATCATCATCAATAGAGTAGTGTGAGGATAAAGCTAATGTTGTTTACGTTAAGGATGAAGGAAACACCCAGTAACATGGTAAAAGCTGGATAAATGGTACAATGGTCGTGTAGCAAATTCACGGATCCACTTGATGTCTTCATTATATTCAGATGCATCATTACAGATATGCATGATAATATTTTATCTGAGGGGCATTCATTAAGCTCAGACAATCTTAAGTGAGGGGGGGGGGTCTCGCCCTCATTGCGTATTTTATCCCGTAAGAAACAGTGTAAAATTGGTCATTGCGTGACGAGTGTCCTTGAACTGAATTAGAATAAATATTATCTTATTAATTTCAAATTAATCAAATTGTGATTTTACGAATAAATTTACACTAAAAATAGAATGTTTCTAAAATCTCCCGTGATTAGGTACGGGGAAAGGTGTCGTCAAAAGCACCTCACGTAATCAATAGGACTTTGTTATTGCATTAAATACATAACAAACATCACATACAACTTTTCACATGATTAACAGTAACATAGACAATCAGAAGGATAGTGACAAGTTCTGCTCAACAGTTTAATTCGTCAGTCCTCTTGATTAGACTCAATGTTCGCATAACTGCTATAGCAAATCATGAATCAAGATCCTATTGTACGTGATGCTACAGTGACTGGCCTCTGCAGATTTGGTTTCCAATTATTTTGCCTTATGTAATGTTTTAGGATCAAACGTGACTACCTACTCGGTGAAGCAGACGACGGAATCATCTCCAACGAATCGAAACAACGAAAACTCATCAAGTAGTAACGAAAAGACAATAAACGGTAAGTTGCTTACCTTGGAACCGATGGACATATGGAGATTGTTTTAAAAAAAACGTTATAGATGGGCTTGGGGGTGATTTCATAAATAGCTATGCATGATAACTACGAGTAGTGCCATCTGTTACCAAAATCGACCTCGAGAGTGAAAACAGCAAGCATTTTGTTGTAACTGTAACCCACTCCGCATTATCAGCTGGGTTACCACTGTATAAAAACTGGTAATGCTGTTTTCACTCTCGCGGTGTTCGGTTCTGGTAATAGATGGCAGCTTGTGTTTTATTTCGTTAGACCATATACTCTCGATAGAGGAATTGTTACTTAGCTTTCGCTCTTTGTCCTACCTGAAACCAAGGCTACACCTTGCTGAGGACTTGCCAAATAGCACGAAACAACTTTCCATTCTTGACCACTGTAGTCAGACAAACAACAGCACAGCTATATTACCAGTTTACTAATAAAATTGTGTCTGTATGAATATCTGCGCTCCCAGGGTTCAAACAAAGGGAAATAAAGATGCATATGTAATGTATAATCGTAACATATGTCCACATTTTGTAATATAATAAAGTGTACGAGTTTTTTGATGAATGGCAACATGTGAACACATCATCAGTATCAGTGGTTTATCATATACAACTTGATGTAAAATATTGCATTATTTATAGTCACGGAAGCATCTTTATTATTTATAATATGTATTTCTACGTAGAAAAATGTTCTGCCAAAATCTATTGATAAAGGGTGTTTATAAAAATAGCATAAGAAGATACTCTACATTTGCATTAATGGGAAATTTCGTTTACTCGTATTTTCCTCCAAATTTGACCAAACTTCGTCCTTCGGGCAAATCGCGTGCGCAGATTACGAATCCGTTTTTTCTGGTTGGATGGGTAGAAAGATCCAAGAGCCTCGCATTCGTATTCTTGCTATAAATAGGGTATCGCAACACTACCATTTTTTCGATGGCCATATCCGTCATTAGAATTTAAAAGTTCAAAGGCACACTATTGGAGCAGAGTTCAAAAGCACTCGCGAATTTTTTATACCGAAGCAGCCGCACAGGCAGAAGCCTAAATGCCGGGACACCGCGGCTGCTATGTGGATCTCAAAGAAATTTTGTGAATCTGATTTTTGAATTGCCCTAAGGTTAGTAGAACTGGGAAAAGCTTTCTCTTGTAGATTGTTTCACAATCTCGACACCCTCGGGACAAATTAGCGGTCATATCGGCCAGTTCTGGATGTACGAAGTTCGACTCGGCTAGGATGGGAGGCCAAAATCAAGCGGGTCTATCTGGCAGGCACATCGCGCGGTAGCATCATGGAGGAGAGCTCTAAATCAGCCCTCTTCTGGTCAGCATCGAGCATGATAAATATAGCTGGGACAGCAGCACCACAAACGTGTGAACAGTACTCGAGGCTAGGCCTTATCTGAGCCTTGTTTACAGCGGGAAGGTCATGCTGACAAAAGTACTTCTTAGCCCTAGACAAATAGCCTAGCTTTTTCCTAGCAGCTGCCGCTATTGACGAAATATGTTCGTGCCAGATCAAGTCCTCGGCGATCTGGACCAGCCGAAATGAATGGCTCTTTGGCAGAGCTCAGCCATCCATCGAAACCGGATGAGCGCTAGGACGCTTTTCGCAATTTCGACCAAAATCAGCTTCTTGTACAAATAGGGTGCGTAGATCTTGAATCTGATATCAGTTTTTTGTTGGGTTATGTGGAAGGTCCCAAATGTCCCAATATCCCACCATAAATAGAAGATCTTGACTGTTTACGTTTTTTTATAGACATATGCAAAATCAGCGTTACAAACTATCCTGCTATACCATATTGCGTCGTGAAAAAGACACCGCACTCCCACCAAAATTTCAGTGTCCTCTAAAAATAATTTACACTATGATCTATATAAAAATGGGTATCAGTAGTTGGGATTTAATGGTGTTATGCTCAATAATAATAATAATAATAATAATATTCCTTTATATTCGAAAACCTTTAAACTACATCAGTACGCATCTCTTTCCTTCTCAGAAGAGTTTTGGCAATACAGGAACTTGGTCCCTGAAAGCTCAATTTGGAATATGATAGTATAGCAGTGAAGCATCTCGATTTATTTAGGAGGATCTAGCGAGTGCGGAGAGCAAGGTTTGTTAATACTTGCCCTTAGGAGTTTCTGCGAAAAGAGATGAGACCAGAGGAGCGTATTTCAAGCTAGCACTCCTTGAAATAGAGCATTACGTTTGGACATCTCCTATAGATGCGAATATTTCTTCCTACACTACGTTTAGACATCAGATGTATGAACTGGGAAAGCTCTGAGATACCCAGGCATAGGTGGTCCAATATTTTTGAGCTTTTGATGTTGCGATGTATTACAAATTGCATAGTCAAAACCAAATCAGGCATAAAAGTAACAGTTAAATATTAGGAAGATTGATATGGATTACTCCTCGATTTGCTTTAAACGGCTCCATGACCTTTGTTGATCGCTTGTACATATAACCCGATGCATAACTCATAAACGCAAGCATTGAACCGTACACGTCATTAAAAACAAATGCTTGCCATTCGCCGATCATCCAAACCCTATCATCGCTATACACAACACAATGCCGATCATAACCAAGGTGCGCCCTAAGGACCCCACGTATCAGTTCCGCTAGGCTAGGCCCATTTTTCTCCAGTTCCAAAGTATGCGTACTACGAGTAGTAGGATCACTTGGCCGTTAAACCAGTTTCTTCCTGCATTCGTTGTTCTACCCACGGGGCAACTACAAGCGAACCGGCATATTTTTTGTGTGAAAAATCGCAATATGGTAGTTGCAATTGAAAAATTCGCAGAGGTAGAGTCGCTGTTCAGATGACCCAAACGCCGTGAGCACCACCTATCGAGAAATGACGCGGCTGATATTTGCCTTAACTACTACAACCCGCGTTTCGTTAGCTTTATTTATGGACTGCAGGCTCGTTGAACTATGTGGTATATACTTTTGGAACTAGATTAAATTTGATAATATCAAAATCGCATTTAGCAGCTTCTCTGTGCAACAGATGGTATCTGTGCTATTTAATCGTTGATTCTGATATTCGAGTATATGTATATGTATGCGCCAGAAATGATTCTACTCGCTGGAAGCGCGATGACAGCGACATCTAGCGTATGCCACACAGAAGGATCTGTGATTGATACGTGTAACATAAAAGTACACATACACCAATGAGAGAAATAGATATTTAGCAGATTCGAGGTTAGGAACGATTTAAATTTCATACTGACAATCCTCTGACAAATGATATTGCACCACATAACACAGATTTCATCATAGATAACACGCCTATGTTCCACTATCAGATGTTTCGTTTCAGTTCCCCCCACTATGCACTTCGCTCCTGGCTAATTGAATCAGCGAAGCGGGTGCCATCTCTGAAGCACTAACTCGGTCAGTAAGCAATACATACAGATGCTGCAAGTCCCTAATAGCTGGCACCACTGTATCAGTTTTGCAAAAAAATTAGTCTGACATGTATTAAGGATAGACGGTACAACAGAGCTCGACGGCAGATGTAACCGTTTTTCCGAAACTAATCTTCACCGATTTTGTCTAAAGGCGACGACGTTATTTAAGGAATCCGAACATAAAGGGTTTCCGTAAGTGATACTACTACTCTTAAATCGGTACACCATTTTCAGTTCCGACCACGTGCCCGTAAGTTCACAACCCGTGTCTTTCAGTTAGAACATTAAAGTGGCCTTCCTTCCGTGTCATTTTCCGTTGGTCTTAGCCCGGTTAAGACGCAGTGCTTTCTATGGGAGGTACAGAGAGTGATTAGGTATGAAATTGCCTTGTTTGGTGTGCCTGAGGGATTTAGGGACTTTGCCTAGAGATGTTGGGAGTGAGATCAAGGCTAGAAAGAAGAGATTCGGCAGCAGAGTGTTTAGACCGTTCCAGATGTTCAAGCGGGGCAGGTCGAAAAGTGAGTAGCCCTCTTAAGTTATTCACTTTGAAGTCCTACATTCGCACCCTACTATCATTTCTCGTTTATAACGGTAGAAATGTCATTGTATTTACAAAAAAAATCGATTTTGAAGTACATCTGGGTGTTTTGTGATGTTCTCTGGTCGATTTGTCTTTAGGCCTCTTGTTTTTGTGAATGTATGTAATAGTTTCCGAAAAGATCTTATAACTAGCTCTTCTCAAGATAGGTATAATTTTTCCGATCATTATTGAGTTTATTCATAAAGTAGTTTTAAGGGAATCAACATTTTTTTCTGATGATCCCGTACTTTGAACTTTTTGAACATTTTTCAAGGTTCAGGAAATATGAATATGTACATAATGAAGTAAAACAAAGAAAACGTTGTAACTGCAACTGTTTCAGCACTTATCCTGATCATACTGATGCCAGGAGAATATAATCTGAGAGACGAAAACTATATTTGTAGTAGCGTGTCCAAAGTTCGTTTCCAAGGCATTCACTGTGATTTTTAAGACAAATGCTTCCTTTGGAATAAGTCTAACCAAGCCGTTATACTTAATGGAGGGCTCTATATCTAAAACCTCGGTTACTTTTCGATACACAGATCAACCACACGTCGGATGTGGGAGACGCTCGATTTATTAGAGGAGGCTTGATAATTTCCTTCAAGATCGCTTGAAAAGTAAATATACACAGGTCGGGTAATTGGTATCTTTTTAAATAAATGTCGAGTTTTCCTAAAATCCAAGTAATTTTTCAGTCAGTGGTATCGGAATTTGCCGAATTTTAAAATGCACAGGTGAAACGCCGGACAATTCAGTTTGAATCGAATAATAAAAATGCGTCAATAAAATCGTAAATATAGTCATGTCTCTTAGAAGATTCAAGACTTGAATTGGTTAAAGATGGAATCACAGTTTGTTTATGCTATGAAGATGTTTGTCCATGAAGTAGTTAGCACAAAAAATCCACCGTACATTTTATAAAAGCTGGTTCCAGGAGGTCACATCAATCAGAGAAA